CATTCTTGGAAAGTGTAGTATCCACCTAAGGTACGCAATTTCTTGTGGTAAATTTTAATGGGATGTGTAACGGTTACGGCGAATTTGCGGATAAGAGGAATTGATTGTGACACAGGATATGTCCGATGTGGCGCACCAGAGGAAACGATCAATCACACACTCTTTCAGTACCACCCGGCCCGACAGATTTGGGCGTTTTCACAGTTTCCTACGGTCATGGGGCATTTTCCCACGGACTCTATTTTTACGAATTTGGATCACTTAGTTTAGAGAATACCTTCGGAATTCGATTCATCAGCTTTCTCTTGGATTATTTTGTATATTTGGAAACCACGGAATGAAAAAGTATTTGAAAATATAGACAATGACCCACTAGAGGTATTACGGTTAGCGGAAAAAGATGCACAATTGTGGCAACCAGCTCAAATAGAGATTATTAATGAAAATCAAGGTTCTATGGATTTGGTGACTCGATCTCGAGGGAGGGATGCTTCACTTGAATCGAATTACTCGGGATACCGTTGTTTTCTGGATGGATCATGGAAAGAAAGTGATAAGTTCTCATGTACAGGATGGTTTTGTACATCATCAAGTGGAGAACCGCGCGCCAACCATGGGAGCTGCCAACCTCCGTAGAAGTCTATCTCCTCTACATACAGAAGTCGAGGCCCTTCTTTGGCGATGAAGTATATGATTGGTGCAGATAATCAAGAGGTAGCGTTCTTTACAGACTGTTCAGACCTGGTGAAGATGGTGTCTTCCCCAACCGAATAGCCGGCGTTTTCAGTGTATTTGGAGGAATTTCAGAGCGACAAGGAAAAATTTTCAACTCTCTCTTTATCTTTAATTTCTCGTAGTGCTAATGTAAAAGCGGATAATCTGGCACGAAAAGTTCGTACGGAACTGCTTCATATCACATATGTTAACAACATTCCCCAGGAATGGCTCCTTTGAGCGTTATTTAATTTCGGATGACAAAAGAAAAGTTTCAAATATTGTTTTGGCGGCTTGAAATAGTAAAACAAAATCTTTATTGGTCTATTTACATTTCGGTCACCTAAAATATAATTCGGTTTGTCTTTTAGATCCTAACGCCGTTTCAGAAGGTTATTCGATTTGTTTTTGTCTTTCTTGTTTGCTCTCTTCCTTTTACAACATTCTCAATAAATGATATCCTAAAAAATAAAATGAAAATAAAACATAAACTAGTAGTGTTTTGGTCCTAACAACGCCTCCCAAGATGTTTTGTTGTTCTTTAATGTTTATGTATTTTCATAGACACAAAATTACAAACATCAATTCTCTCGTATTGCTCTGATATTGATAAAAATGCTAGATGATTACAAATGAGGGATCTCACCCCTATTTATACAAAAACACCTCCTTAGTGGACGGTGGAGTATAAAGCGATCTAACGGCCCATATTGAAGATATGACCTTGATTAGCAAGATCCTAATAAATGTGGAGGATTTGTAGGGATATTTCTTTGGTACAAAGTCTTGAGATATATCCTCCAAGTCTTTCCATATCTTGCACAAAACTTTCTAGAAGATTCTAGATAAGATCTAGGCCATAAAATGAAGAAAAAAACCCATGAAAGTGTAGAATGTCCTTGTGGTCCGCCCTGGAGGTATGTTTAAGAGAATAGGCCGTGACATCTTCCCCACCTGATTCGGCGACGTCCTCGTCGTCGTGAATGCCTTGTGTTGGTCTTGGAATTTCCATAACTCCTCTTCGGGTTCCCATGAAGCTTCAGATTCCGGTAGATCCTTCCACTTGATGAGGTAGTGTGTCCGTCGAGGTAGACCACGTTTCCGAACCACCTCCGATGACAACACTTCTTCGATCTCCTTAAAGAAAGAATTAGTCATTATTGGTGGTGCCTGGTTTGACTCTCCTCGACTTTGGTTCTTGGTGTCTTCATGATATGGCTTCAACATATGTCTTCATTATTCATTTTAATAAAAAATTTTTTATATATGATAAAAATGAAATTTTTACCGATTATGAATTTATAATATTAATGAGACCATATATTTACATATGGATTATAATAAAATTATTCTCTTATCAAATTGTGTTTGTTTTTACCCCGTCCCGACTTGGGGCCATAGAATTTCTTTATTTTATAGTGTTTATTAATTTATCAAGTATTAATTTATGGGCATTTGCAAAATTACCCTTTCTCTATTTCCTTTTTCAAACATACCTCTTCTTGTTGTCCATTTTTTAAAATACCCTTTATTATGTTAAATGACTAAATTACCCTTCTTTATTGAGAGAAGGTAAAGAAAAAGTAAAAAAAAAATCCCGCCAAAATTTATTTTTGTCCACCAAAAAGATTTCCAACAAAACTTTCCGCCAAAAAAAATTTCCGACGAAAATTTATAAAACCCTTGTAAAACTTTTTAAAACCCTTCTAAATCTTTTAAGACTTTTGTAAATGTTTTTAAAATTCTTTTAAAATCATTGTAAACCCTTCTAAATCCTATAAAACCTTTGTAAAATCTTTTAAAACCATTTTAAACCTTTAAAACTCTTTAGAAATAATTGTTATCACTTATAACCTCTTTTTAAAATCCTCTTAAAATCCTTTAAAAACCCTTGTAAATCATTTTAAAACCCTTTCAATACACTTGAATTTTTTTTAAAACCCTTTAAAAACTCTTGTAAATCTTTTAAAGCTCTTGTAAACCCCTTAAAACCTTTTAAACCCCTTATAAAATCCTATTAAATCTCTTGTTAATTCTTTAAAACCCTTTTAAAATCCTTTTAAAACACTTATAAATTTTATTGAAACTCTTTCAAAACACTTGTAAATCCTTTTAAAACCCTTTAAAAACCCTTGTAAATCTTTTAAAACCCTTGTAAACTCTTTAATACCTTTTAAAAACCCTTATAAAATCCTTTTAAAACCCTTGTAAATTCTTTAAAATCCTATTAAAAAACTTTTAAAACACTTAAATGTTTTTTAAAACCCTTTCCAAACACTTGTAAATCCTTTTAAAATCCTTTAAAAACCCTTGTAAATATTTTAAAACCCTTATAAACCCTTTAAAACCTTTTAAAAACCCTTACAAAATCCTTTTGACAAACTTGTAAATTCTTTTAAATCCTTTTAAAATTCTTTAAAAAGACTTATAAACCTTTTTAAAACCCTTTCAAAACACTTGTAAATCCTTTAAAAATCCATGTGAATCTTTTAAAACCTTGTAAACTCTTATAAAATCCTTTTAGAACCCTTGTAAATCCATATCTTTTTTAAACAAAATATTTTTTGGCGGAAATATTTTTGTCGGAAATTTTTTTGTCGGAAACTTTTTTGACTCGTGTAACACCACTGATTTCAGAAATATGATGGTGCATGCGAAGAGGTTTAAAAGAATTTATTTGGCCACAAATGTCACCAAAGTGCACTTATCTTTTCGGTTAATTGTCCTGAGAGAATTTCACAGTTAAGAATGCTTGAGCTGGAGCAATTTCAGGATGGGTGACCTTCCGGAAAGTGATTGTTGGAACTGTGTGAGTGAGGACAAAACACAAAAAAAAATCATGTGGTGATTTGTAGGGTGGGTAAACAAGTCTTTAAAGCCTCCCGGATGTAGCGGATCTACCGAGAGAGGACGTGGAGGCCCATTAAGAGAGATCGTGGTCGGGGCGTTACAAGTGGCATCAGAGACGAACCTAGACGAGTGTGGAGTCAAGAGGGCTCACACCGTCAGGGGCGACGGTCTAGGTGCGCAACGAGGACGTTGCGATCTGTTAGTGGGGGTAAATTGTAATACCCCCGATTTCAGGAATATGGTGGTGCATGTAAAGAGGTTTAAAAGAATTGAATTGGCTACCTATGTCACAAAAGTGCACTTATCTTTTCGGTCAACTGTCCTAAGAGAAGTCCATAGTTAAGAGTGCTTGAGCTGGAGCAATTTCAGGATGGGTGACCTTCCAGGAAGTGATTGTCGGACCTGTGTGAGTGAGAACAAAACATAGAAAAAGATCATGTGGTGATTTGTAGGGTCGGTAAACAAGTCTTTAAAGCCTCACGGAGGTATCGGACCGACCGTCGGAAAGTGATGGGCCCACGGGCCGAGAGAGGACGTAGGGCCCATTAAGAGAAATGGCGGCCGGGGCGTTACAGCGAGTAAATTTTGTCAAAATATTTTTGGCGGGAAAATTCTTTTTTTCTAATTTTGTTGTCTTAATTATTTTTCAAATAGGGGTAAAATGGTCATTAAAAATTGAAAGAGGGCATAAATAAAAATGACTAGAAAATGGGGTACTTTTGAAAAGGGTATCAAAGAAAGAGTATTTATAACAAGTTCTCTTAATTTATAGTTAATATTTTCAAAATTTGAATTTGTAGCAATCTCTCTTTACAACTTTTATTATAAATACTCACTCTTATTGTTTAGGGATCTTATTCCATTAGAATTGATGTTAAAAAAAAAGGGAATCAAAGAAAGAGTATTTCTAACAATTTCTCTTAATTTATAGATAATATTTTCAAAATTTGAATTTGTAGCAATCTCTCTTTACAACTTTTATTATAAATACTCACTCTTATTGTTTTTTTTTTGTTAAATACTCACTCTTATTGTTTAGGGATCTTATTCCATTAGAAATGGTGTTAAATTTTCTCTCTCTCTCTCTCTCTCTCTCTCTCTCTCTCTCTCTCTCTCTCTCTCTCTCTATATATATATATATATATATATATATATATATATATATATATATATATATATATATATATATACTTTGTGGTTGAGAAATAAAGAGATTGAGCTTTGTTTTTTAACATACTCCCCTACTGCAAGCTCATCCTCCTTAGTCATGTTGATCAGTGCCTTGTGTAATTTTTTGATTCTCTCTTTCGGCGCGTAAGTTGTTAGAAAGCTTCCTTTTCACATGTTCCTTCCATGTTGCCTGTATGCGGCACACTGCTGATGATCTAAAATATATATATATTTGAGGTCATATGGTTAGTTTAAGGTGGTAAAAAAAAAACTTTAAATCCTACTTCGGTTTCTAAGCCTTGCCTGCTCATTTGTTTGTGTATCACGCTTTGAAGGTGGTTAAAATGAGAAGCTACAAACTTGACATCATCAGGCGAGAGAGTGAAGCCTTCAACTTCGGTAAGAGTTATTATAGTTCTGGTTGAGGTGGGAAGGCAAGAACTATTAAAGAGAAGTTGTCCACATATGTCACCTGCTTTTAGTTCTTCACCTATTTCATGAGACCTAGTTGTACTTTTTAGTTTTCCTTTTGTTATAATCAGCATTTCCTCCAATGGGTCACCCTCTTTTACTATGTAGCTATCTGCCGAGTAGAACACATACTTCACCCGGTTGCACACTGCTGCTAGTAACCAACCATCATCTATGCCCTCAAACAAAGGAACCTGAGAAGTGATTAAGATTTAAGTTAGAAACTATATCTAAGTGCAAAAAGATGCAAGGATCAATCACAAAAGATAACTTACACCCTTTAATAGATTCAGGTAAAGATGTCGTTTGGTTTCGAGTCTGAGGTCTATAGGAAGGCTACGAAGAAGAGCTTCTTCTTCGATGCCTCTAGTTTGTTTCCATGTGTATTCCCCGTATTTCCTAATGCGTTGCTTGAGATCGTCGGGTAGGTTCCGATAAGACATCCATTTTTCTATGTCTCTTTTTCTCTCCTCCATTTCATCTATTTTGATCGTAGTCGATTGCAAGTACTTCTGTGACCACCAAAGGAATTCTCCTAAGATTCAGTTTTACGAGATCAAAATCTAGTTTATGAAGTAAGAGCATTACCTGAACGTTTCCAATGAGTAAAGCAAACAAGAGTAAACCAAGTATACAGATGTTGATAGCAAACACGATCTCCTCTACAGAGTTGCTTGTCTCCAGGTTTTGGCCCAAAGCACTATAGTCGTTGAAGAACAAGTTAAGCTATGATCTTCTGACAACCTGATTGATGGCTTTTTACCTCAAGGATCAGAACTCACGGCATAAAGTTTAGATTTACAAACCTAAGATTTCGAAGACCCCACCAAAAGCAGTAGAAGAACTTCCTTGGAAAATACCTGGACTCTACCACCCCTGACTTCAATGCATCAATATACATACCAAAATTGAAGACTGTGGAGTTTGTGATTTGGCCAGGGTCAATTAATGGGCATGAATTGTTCAGAAAACAATTGTTGTCTTCGCTACCTCGTGCACAATATAGATTCATGACATTGCATCCACGTGTTCTAACACACACATCATGCCAGCATAAGTTTTCCCTTTGTATTGCATTCAAGTACCAGAAACCCCCAAAGACCTGCCCATCATCACATATCTAACAATTCTTGTTATTGTTGTATAACAAAAAATTAGTAGTGGGGATGTGGGAGCAGAACAAAGACTTACATAACTCGGAAGCATGTAGAGGAAAAGATTTAAAGCAGCTCCAATCCACTTTGTTTCTACTACCGTACCAGAGGCCTTTGTCACTTCTTGGAAAAGCGGATAGATACGGAGGATTCTTGGTATATATTGACATATTATAACCTTTTTTAATATGTCCTTTGACACCAGCAAGGCAGACTGTTGCTTCCGTATAAAGAAAGTGAGAACCACCACCTATAAAATTTTGCTAGACGTCATAATTTAAAGGAGGCATGATCAAAAAGTAGATGTCATAAAGTAAACTAGTGAACACACCTGAGGAATGGGGAGAATAGAAGCAATGTCAACAATGAAGCGAAAGATGTCGCGCGTTTTCCTTGTAGCCTTAGAATGCTTGTGATCGAGGAGCAATGAGCTCGGTTATTGAACGGAAAATGATGTGAATTACATAGAATGAGTCGATAAAAATACGAATGAGACAAGCTGCTAGTCCTAGCTTCTTGTCATAAGTAAAGCAGAATCTATGAGAATCAATCACAGGGATAAACAGAAACAAAGGATCAATAGCGAAAGCAGCAAAGCAAAGTAACATGACTGTCTTACTCCTTCTTTAAGCGCACTCTCAAATTCTTGAAATTCCCCTTTACATATCGAAAGGTTGAAGATCTCTGCATGTTTATGGTGTCAAACCTGTATCAACAAAATAATCAATAATAATAATAATAATAATAATAATAATAATAATAATAATAATAATAATAATAATAATAATAATAATAATAATAATAATAATAATAATAATAATAATAATCTATATATAATAGCAATCTAATAAATACCATTTGCAGATCTGAATGGTTGCGTCTTTTTATCGCAACTTTTCGTTAATGTTTTTATAAATTAAAATATATATTTTACGGTTATCTTTTTTTTTTATAAATTGCATTCTAAATGTTTTCTACGGTTGCGTTTTTTATTATAACTCTTCATAAACAGTTGAAACCGCTTATTCGAATCATTGCAATATTTAGTTTATTTTACGAACAATTGCAACTTTTGGTTTATATATTTAGTTTATTTCACGAACAATTGCAATTTTTGGTTTATTTTAGGCCTGGGCATTCGGGTCCGCGGGTCGGGTTCGGGTAAAACCCGATCGGGTTCGGGTATGTCGGGTATGGTAATATAGGACCCAATAGGGTAAACTCGAAACATCGGTTCGGTTTCGGTTCGGGTATGGTCGGGTTCGGGTCGGTTCGGGTATCAGATTTGAGAACCGGTAAAAACCCGAAAATATCGGTTCTTGCTTGTTTCGGGTCGGGTTCGGGTATTTTCTACCCGTTTACACTGTGGAATACATTTTTTACACCATCGGGTATCGGGTTTAGGGTTTAGGGTTCTAGAATCGAGCAAAGGGAAAAAGCTAAATAGTCAAAAGATTAATCGGGTTAGAGACTAAACCTAAGGGCATTTAAGCGGATCGGGTTTTCGGTTTACACCATCGGGTATCGGGTAAAACCCGAACCCGACCCGATACCCACGGGTAAGCAATTATAGAACCCAACAGTGTAAAACTCACATACCCGTACCCGCCCCGAACCGGTTTTTTCGGGTCGGGTCCGGTTCGGGTACTCGGGTACGGGTTTTTTGCCCAGGCCTAGTTTATTTTATAAATAGCTATAACATTTAATTATCTACCGCCGCGTCTCTCGGTGTAACTTTTCATAAATAATTATTTTAATTCTTAATTTTTAATTACTAAAATGTATTTAAATGAGATTGTAACTATTTAATTGAACTGTTTCAACATTTGGATTATTTGACAAATTATTGCAACTTTTGGTTTTGTGTTACGAACCATTGTTATCTTTAGTATATTTGATGAACTATTGCAACATTTGGTATAATTGACAAACCGTTGCAGTTTTTGGAATATTTGATATCTACGGTTGCGTTTCTCGGATAAGTTCGTCAAATTTTTAAAAAATATTTAAATACTAAAATATATTTAAATGAATTATTGTTACCGTTTAATTCAACACAATAGCATTTGGTTTATTTGATGTTGAACGTTTTGGCTTATTTATCAAACCATTGTAATATTTGGTTTATTAGTTTATGCTTTTTGCACTTGGGAATAGTTTTTTAGTTACAAATTATTGTTTTTCTAATATTAATATACTTAATAAATGCTTGTGAGGGTTTTTTTATCATAATTTTTGTAAAATATATATTGATTTGTTTTTAAAAAAATTCAAAATTATTACAATTCATTATGATTTTTTCGTTTGATATTTTTTTAAATGATTTTTGAAATATATTCCCCCGCGATGTCGCGGGGGTCCTGAGTCCTAGTAATAATAATAATGATCTATATAATAATAACAATCCGAATAAATGTCTCTCGTAGTTGTGAACAGTTATCTTTTTATTGTAACTTTTCGTTAATTTTTTTTTCTCAAACTAAAAACTATATTTTACGGTTGTTTTTGTTTAGAAAGTTGCAATCCGAATATATGTTTTCTACGGTTGCGTCTTTTTGTCGTTACTCTTCATTAATGGATGCAACCGTTTAGTTGAACCATTGCAATATTTAGATTATTTCACGAACAATTGCAACATTTGGTTTATTTTATAAATTCTTATAAATTTAAAAACATTTTTATGCTATAATATATTTTACAATTGTGTTTTTTAGAAAGTTGCAATCCTAATAAATGTCTTCTACTGTTGCGTCTTTTTATCGTTACTCTTTATTATTAGTTGCAACCGTTTAGTTGAACCATTGCAATATTTAGATTATTTCACGAACCATTGTAATATTTGGTTTATTTTATAAATCATCATAACATTCAAAAAAACTTTTAAGCTAAAAAATATTTTATGATTGTGTTTTTTAGAAAGTTGCAATCCGAATAAATATCTTCTACTATTGCGTATTTTTATAATAACTCTTCATAAATGGTTGCAATTGTTTAGTTGAACCATTGTAACATTTGGTTTAGTTTATAAATCGTTATAACATTTGATTTAATTTTCTTAAACCAAAATAATATATTTTACGGTTGTGTTTTTTTTTTAAGTTGCAATCCGAATAAATATCTTCTACAATTGCGTCTTTTTTATCGTAACTCTTCATAAACGGTTGCAACCATTTAGTTGAACCATTGCAATATTTAGTTTATTTTATGAACTGTTGTAATCTTCAGTTTATTTGACGAACCGTTGTAACATTTGATATATTTGACGAACCCTTGCAACTACTGGTGTATTTGATATATACGGTCGTGTCTCTTGGTTAGAGTTTTTTATAAAAAAAATTTAATTTTAATTACTAAAATAGATTTAAATAAATTATTGCTACCGTGAATTCAACATAGTAACAATTAATTTATTTGTCGAAGCAATGAACATTTTCGCTTATTTGATGAACTGTTGCAACTTTTGGTATATTTGATATCTATAGTCCCGTCTCTCGGTTACAGTTCTTCATAAATTATAAAATTTTAATTACTAAAATATAATTAAATGAATTGTTACTACCGTTTAATTCAACATAGTAACATATGGTTTATTTGACGAACCACTGAAAATTTTGGCTTATTTGACGAACCGTTGTAACTTTTGATTTATTTGATGAACCAATGAACATTTCGGCTTATTTGACGAACCGTTGTAATTTTTGGTTATTTGATAAACTTTTACAACTTTTGGTATATTCGATGAACTGTTACAATATTTGCCCTTTATAAAAGATTTTTGAGAGCATTAATTAAAGTTATATCTATTCATTTCGAGTTGTATCTTGTCACCATGTTTTATTTGTGTTTTTTTTATCGCAAACTCTTCATTTAATATTTTTTACTTATGATCGCATCTTTTCAAAAAAAATATTTTATAATAATAATATAAATCTTAATAAATGCTTCCGAGGGTTACGACTCTTTATGATAATTTTTCGTAAAATATATCTTGATTTATTGTTAAAAAAAAATTCTTAAGTTTTCTCAATTCATTATAACTTTTCGTTTAATATTTTTCTCTTTAAATATTTTTGAAATTTTTTACATCGCGGGAGTCTGAGGCCTGGTAATAATAACAATAATAAAATATATTTTTTTTGCAAAACAAAAACCCTCAAAATCGTATTTTTGCAACTTTACCGTAGGTCTCCAAAATATGCAGCTCGATCCCGCAAAGTTAAAAGTACTACGCAATATAACACATCATCATTAGTTCGTTACCGTCAAGTTTATAAAATTATGGTAGTTATGATAAACAATACATAATGTCAAATTATGATAAATAATATATCACAGTCAAGTTTGTAAAATTCACCACATTTAAAATTAAAAAAAAAACTATTGCATATAACTGTAAAAAACTTTAGAAAATA